AAACCAGCAATATCAGATTTTTGGCACAAAGTTGCTGCCCAAACAGTGTAACCAAAACTGGGCCTAGCAAACATTGTGCAGCACATGGACTTTAGTCAGAAAAAAAATAATTAAAAAAGCAGATTTTGGGCCCACAAAATTATCAGTCCAGGCAAAAAAGGGACTGGAATTCCACCCAAGATTTGAGATTTCTCAAATTTCTACCCCCCAAAATACATGGGTTGGAGATGGTATTTGGAAGCTAAACTCAAAATTTGAGTTTCCACCCCAAGGGTTGGAGATGGTTTAAGATAGTTTAGCTTTTAAAAAATATTAAAATTTATTTGTTTTATTATTATTTATTTTTAGGTCAAAATCCTTAATTAAAAGTAAATATCAAATATTAAAATACATATTAGAATTTTATTTATTTATAATTAAATTTTATTATTAAAATAATTATTTTTTACTTCGACATAACTCCAAACATAGGTCTTCACTATTTTCACAATCCAGCTTCTTAGTCCAACGCAGCACCAAACATAGGTCAGTACTTAATCCAGCTTAGTATAATCCGAGCTAATTCAAGACAGTCTCAGGATTTAGTTTAGTTCATGACAGTCCGCCATACCAAACGACCTCTAGATGTACAACAATCCAACTCTTGAAATGTATTTGTCAAAAACTGATTTCACTATTTTATTAATAGCATTAACTCTTGCATATAAAACGAGACAGTCTTCTCTTTTGTACTCATCCCCACTGTTCTCTTTCTTTTCAAACTCTATCTCCTCACTCTTTCTCTTCTTCTGAACTTTTGATTCAATAAATAAAGCTATGATTATGAACAAATCAAAGTACCAAATATTGGCGAATGAAGGTTGGTTGAGTTGGTAAGGATCATTCTTTTCGCTATCAAGGCCTAAGTTCGTGTCCTGTTGGCGACAATTCCTCTTGGTGGGTAATTTGTAAAAACCAAAAAAAGGGGGAAGACCTCCTTTGTAAGTCCTTTTTTGGTATGTCTTGGCCCCGAGATGGGTAGCCTCCCTTCCCCCTAAATTTTGTTCACCAAAAAAAAAAAAAAGTACCAGATATTGAAAGGTGAACAAAATGATAAGAATTTCAGCACTTACTTCTCCCTTCCTCTCTTTCACCTCTTTCCCGTTTGAACTAGGCATGTAGTTTTTATTTGATTATATTTTTCATGATCATGACAAAGTTTCAGTGGTTAGCTGGCAATCATCCCTTAATTGAATTAAAGAGAACTTTCTACGTGAGACCATATCGCATATGACTTCAATCAAAATAGAGAGAAACTCTGTTACTAATTTTTTAGATAAATAATATTTTTCAAAATTTGTTACAGTCTCATTAGCAAGTTCAATTGTCACGTCCCCATTTTTTATTTGGACAAAAATTCAATGGATGTCCAAAGACCAGTTTGAGTGCAAAATAGAAATCCTCTTCCTCTAGAAATGTACTGCAAAATCCCAATGTTAATTTTCCATTTCTCTTGGCCACAACGTGGTAGACTTTTTAGCCGAACACACAACCTTTGTTTAGTTACAATGGTGGGCTCTTTCTTTTGGGGTGCAATGGCGGGCTTAAAGCCTATAATGTACAGAAGAACCTAGCTCTATGTTGAAGCATAAAATTGAATAAAACGTCCCCACTCGAACCTTATGGAAAATGTACCGAAACTAGGAAAAAAAAAATATCTTAGCCAGAAAAGAATCTTTTCCTTGATTGCCAAGGTAGAAATCCACCTGGAATTTTTTTTCACGAATAATTATAAATAATAGTAAGAAACGGAGTTTTTCAACCCCTTGAAAATCACTTGGTAAAGCAAAAAAGATCTGCACTTATCCACGACGTTTGATGTAAGTTCCATGTCAAAAACTTCACAAAGTACAACATATAACAAGTGTTCGTTTGACATTACTTATTTTGAGTTATAATCATTTTCTTTCACAGTTTTGAATATCCATACCTTTTGGTTAAAGAGAAAAAACCTGCTTTTTGGAGGAAATCGCTGCCACATACAGCAGTTTGGAGAAGTGGGTAACCGGTGTGGGTTAATGAATATTTTTATAATACCTATACTATCCTTCTGTCTCTTTACAATTTACGTCACATGTCCATTCATTCCATTCAATCTTTAATTCACCCATTCTATTCTGTCCACTTCTTTTTTTACTCTGAACTCGTTTATCATTTCCCTCTTCAATTATTAAATAAATAAATACCTTTTTCAAGTATGCTTTGTACCTTTTTTTTGTTGCTGTAATTATTCTTGATGTTTAATTTTTTTCTTCTTCTGAATTTTCTTGACTTTCTCCTCTGAATCGTTTTATGGGGCATTTGGGTGAATGATATATGATTTGGAACATGGTACTTCAAAGACAAAAATAGTTTAGAGCATTCAAGGACAAATATTTAACTTTCAACATAATATCTTGTTTATTTTATGATCGAAACAATTTTTTTGGGGTGATGGTTAAAAAATATATTTGTCAAAAAGGTGGCTGACTCATATCCACCTGAAGTGCTATATCAGACGTGTAAATAATGTCTTGTGAACCAGCGGCGATTTTGACAACAAGAAACAAAGACGTTATTTCAATTATCGAGAGTTTTTTAATGAATAGGCCCCGCCTGCTGTGTATACAAGTGACATTTTCAACCTTGCATATGGTTTTCTCTTACCATATTTTCAGTGTTTTTCATTTATTCTTTAATAAAATAATAATTTTATTTAACGGTTCAGGTGGAATAAGAAGTTGTCCATAATGTTAAATTACCACATAGGCCGTCAAATACAAATTTGATGTTTTTTATTTGACATTTCCCTTGGAGATGCTCTTAGAAACTTAATTTTGTACTAACATCAATTTTAGTATTCAGTTTACCAAACGTTAAACTATTTTCATTCACAGCTGATTTCTCTTGCAGCAAATCTGAAATTGATTATATTTACAACATAGCAATGCCAAACTGGCTCTAAGTGATGGATACTACTTGCCTCTATCTGTAAGGAGATATTTCTCCTTCCTGTGAATCACAATTTGACACATATGCAAAAATAATTCATTAAAAACACAAAAATAAAAACTTATGAACACAAGTCACACTGCTATTGGTAGGAATTTAGGAGCTCTTACTTACATGGTAAGGAGGGAAAGTATTTTCCATAAGTGATTTTACTAATAATAACATCAAGACATTTTGTATAGAACCTCACACCTTCCGAACTGTATGTAAGTGATTAAGAGTAGTTAACTTCGCTTGTATAAAAATAAAAAAAAAGTGAAACGATGGAGACCAAAAATGCAGTTTGGCCTTTTCATCTTGGACTGAAACTTGTTCATGTTTTTATTTTTATGTTGATCTCGTTTATGTTTATGGCCATCTAGATAACACAACATCGAATAATTTCTCATCACATACAGAGTAAACATCATCTTACATTGTGGACCATTGAAACTTTCATTTCGACCTAACCAACATATACTATGGGGAGCGTTGTTTTTGGGGCGTTCATTGTGAACTTCAGCATTGTCAATTATATGGTCATAGTCTCCAACAACCAAAAATATATTGTAAAGGAATTTGTATATTACTACTTGCATGCTATTTACTCTACTGATTTAACAATATTCTTTTCCCTTCATTTTACTTTCTGGAATGAGACGATTTATGGGAGTATATAAAATAGTTGAGGTAAATTACGTGTGTACTGATTGAATTGATTTGTCAACTTGACAAATCACAAGATGCATAAGCAATTGCCACTTTGACAAAAGTAAAGAGGATCCTCTTTTGGAATTCATGCATATTTATTAGCGCTTTGACATAATACAATATTCATAAGAAATGAAAATGATATGCAATATGAAAATATATAAACTTTTGGAATAGTTTCTTCAAGTACATCGTTGTGTGATTTCCATAGTTCTACGATATTGCTTTCTTCCTACCACTTTCACAAGCCAATTTGGTTTTCCATTAGAGAGTACAAGATATCCCACAGATATTCCAATTACCACCCCAGATGCATACCCCATCAACACTACCTTCCAATCAAAACCATTCCTGTGCTCCAAATCACCCTCTTGTCTGAATGACGATGGTGGTGATTGATGTGCACCACATGTTTTAGAAAGTGGCAATCCACACAATCCTGTATTTCCACTATATGAATCATTTTCAAATGTATCAAATTGCTTTCCATTAGGTATGGGCCCAACAAGTCGGTTTTCTGAAACGTTGAACCTTGATAGTGATTGCCCCGGAATCTCACCAACAAGTCCATTTGAAGAGAGATCTAACCATTCAAGATTGCTCAATTCGCCAAATGAGGGTGGAATTGTACCTGTAAGCTCATTATTTGAAAAGTTAAGCCCCTTCAATGATTTAAGCTAATCGATAACGTTTGAAATCTCTCCTATAAAACTGTTTTTTGAGAAATCTATACTTGTGAGGAAAGTTTGGATCTTCACCATTTCAATTTCGAAGCCTTTAATTGTCACTACCACAGTGTCATGATAGTAGCCATCTCCCATATATTTCAGTTCATGTTCTGTGAGTTTATCATGGCAGCTAAATTTTCAAAATATTTTGTTGGCAAAAGACCACTAAACAGATTGTGGGAGAGGTCCATGATGTGCAATTTTTGGAATGGAAACTTAGATGTCGGATTTCCTATTGCACCATGGAATTTGTCAGACCTCAAGATAAGAACTTGCAACTTGGGAAGAGATTCCAGCCAATTAGGGAAGGTGTCATGAATTTTGTTGTTTCCCACGTCTAGAACTTCCAAATCTCTACATGTGAGCAAAGATGGTGGCAAGGGTCCTTCCAATTGATTTCCATCAAGGCCAAGATTTCTCAAAACATTTCCCTTAGAAAATGTCATAGGAATCATGCCATCAAATTTATTCTTCCTCAAATCCAAAATAGAGAGGCTTTGACTGAAGTTTCCTAAGCACTGATGAATTTTACCACTCAATTTATTATTAGACAAATCAAGGATTTGAAGTCTACTCAAGCTGCAAATGGTTGGAGGTATCTCTCCAGTCAATTGGTTGTTTGATATGAAAAAGAAAAATGTGGAAGGTGGTGGAATTGGAAGCTCTCCTTGGAGCGAATTGCTGCCAAGGTTAAGATATCGAAGGTTTTTCCATCGAAATTGTCTTACAGCACCTGTGAAAAAGTTGTAAGAAAGATCCAATTGCCTCAACGAATCTTTAACCACATCTGACAACCATTTGGGAACTTCGCCTTGAATTTTGTTGTGGGAAAGGTCTAACGTCTCCAAGTTTGGTGAGGCTCTTAGAAAGTATGGGAACACGTATGTTGCAAGACGACAAAGCTAGGATCGAAAGTTGAGGCCAAGTGTTGTTACTCAAATGGTGGAAACTCAAGGATAGATGGTTAGAGGAAAGATTAAGGTAAGAAAGACTTTGGAGTTTTGAAAACTTTTCAAACTCTACAATGCCACTCAAGTTATTGGATGATAGATCAAGCTCCGTAACCTTCTCAAGTTCAAAATTGGAATCATGCTGTGCAGCTTGTTATCACTGAAATCAAGTCGTGTCAAGGAATGACTAGATTGGAATTCAATGATGTCACCACTGAGTTGGTTGCTTCCCACGCTAAGAACCTCCAATGATGGCAAACTACCTAACCAAGATGGTATTGTTCCGTTGAGTAAGTTCTCAAATAAATCGAGCTTGGTTAAGTGTTGAGGAATAGGAACCACCTGTTGTTTTTCTGAAAAATCATATAAAGAAGAGATAGATGTCGAGTTTCTATCAACTTCTGGAAACTGACCGACATAATTGTTACCACTAAGATCCAAGTTAGTGAGTCTCTCCAGCGTTAGAAGCGACCATGGAATTTGGCCCCCAAAACCGTTATGTGAGAGGTCCAACTACATGATTTGTGTGAGGTTACCAGGTAATGCAGGATATGGTCCTACAAAACTGCAATTTCTGAGAGACAAATCTCTCAGAGACTTGAAATTTCTTGTCAGATGATGCCAATCTACTGAGATTCTAGTATAAGAGAGCCGCAAGGTTTCGAATGGACTGCTCCAGTTAGACTTGGGGAAATAACTTGTGAGATTACGGTTATAACCTAGATATAGTGATCGAAGGTTTGGTCGGCGTAAAATGCTTTCTGGAAATTTTCCTTGCAAGTTGCACCTAGAGAGTCTAAGGGTGTTCAAAGAAGAAGACAGATTGTTGAAGGAATCAAGTACAACTGATGACATGTCAATAGTGTATAGATTAAGCTCCCTAAGATTGGTTAGGTTTTGAACAATTCTGTTGAAGCTAAGAGTATCTAGTCGCACATCAGGTAGCGAGAGATTGAGTGAAACTAAGTTGGAAAGGTGGGAAATTTCTAGGGGGACTGGCCCATTGAAATTAGAGAAAGAGAGGTCAAGGTATGTTAAACTTTCAAATCCACCAAACTTGGACAAAATTGGGGAACCTCTGAAATCATTGTTCGAGATATCTAACCTATTGAGATGCCGAAGAAAGAATAAACTGCTATTGGAATGAATATTGCCTTGAAGTCCACTAAGACCAAGGTTGAGACCGATCACATGACCAGTCACCTTTCCACAAGTAACTCCACTCCATTCACAACAATCCTTGCCTTTATCCCAAAAAATTGTCCCATTAGAATAGAAGGAGTTCTTGAATTGAAGCAAAGCAGAGCTATCGTCAGGATGGCATAAATGCTTTGAAGACAGAGAAGAGGAAGAGTTAGATGATGAACAAGTATTAAAGAACATGAAGAGGAGGCACATCCATGACAACCAAGCCATCTTTCTTTCAAAATCCAAAAGTATATTTATGTTTCTACTAAAAATGTTGTGAGCAACTCTATACTGGATATGTTGATATATATAACAAGCTTAAGGAATAGTAATTTCACTTCTTTAGAGATAACAAATTATTAATGTCTGACTAGGTCCACAGCAGCCATTCCGAAGACTTTGTCTATCTCTGTTAACGTCTCAGTCCTAACTGACCTTAATTCTTGGTCTCATTGTGCTGATAATTGACATTGCGGGTGAAGGTCTGCGTCTCTATTCATCTAATTGGAACCAATGTTTTCAAAGGCGAGGCGTATAGGCGAGGCGTTTTTAGTAGCGCTATGCGAGGCGTAAGCCTTGAAGCATTGATGCGTAAGCCTTTTGAACATTAATTTATTTTAATAACAAAAATTTATAAATAATACAACACAACTAAATTATAGTACTAATTCATATTTTGAAATATATTTATACAACATCAAAATATTAATTCAATTCATTCATGCCACCCCACAGAGGCAAAAGAATTTAATAGAAACTTCATAAAACTAGGGAGAAGAGGAACAAAAGAGTGGACAAGAATATCGGGTAAGGGTTATATCCTCTGCGGCAAGGTTATCCTTCAGGTCCAACTTGGGTATAATATTAATGTTATAGTATATAATATATATATATGTCCAGGTTATAGTTGAGGAGTCAAAACGTGCGTTTAACTTAAAATCAAGAAACCAAAACCTTAAAACGAAGTCGTTTTATTGAAGAAAACCTAAAAAAAACTTCATCTTCTTCATCGCGCTATGGGCTTGCAGAACGCAAAAACAGTGGCGCCGTTCTGCCTCGCTCCGCCTCGACCGCCTCACCACGCCTTGATGCGCCTCACTCCGCTATACGTGCAGTAAGCTAAACAGACAAACGCTTGAGGCGATTTCCATTCGCCTCGCTCCGACGCGCGCACTGGGGCGCGATTAGGCATGCCTTTGAAAACACTGATTGGAACAAATTTGCACCAAGTCATTTGGTCGTCTTTTGGGGTAAACTTAATTTTTGCGTGTTAAAATGGGCACCTTAATTTTCAAAGACTTCAGACGAAAAAATAAATAAATAATTTTGTAGACTTGCTAAGCAGGGAACGAGTAATCATAAATTAACCATCAAAGTCATTCTTGGCGGTTTTGCTTGTCTTTTCAATTTCTGTCTCTACCTGAATTAGCATTTGTTAGGCCTTAGGCCCTTAGTCCAATATCTGAATGAACTTTCAGAACAAATTCATACAGGAAAAAAAAGAAAAACATAAAGAAAAAGAAGCAGGGTTGAGAAAGAAAACAGTACTCTCAAGAAAAAATGGTTTACTGCACAAAACAAACATGTTAATGTTATACATTAATATCATTTCGTAGAGATTTAATTCTTAGCTAGCTGCTACACCAATTTGAAGTGCTGACAATTGACATTGAGGGTGAAGGCCTGCGTCTATTCATGTAATTGGAAAAAACCTAACTGATACAATAAGGAAAAAACCTAACTGATACTACATCAATTACATGTACAATCAGCATCTCAACACAGAAAAAAGTAAAAAATTAGGAAAAAGACTTAGATCTGAAAAAATACATACCTCAACATTGATGCAAGCTCCAATCCACCTCCAAAAACCACAAGAAATCATGACGCAGCGCAGAAGCACGGGTAAAGGGAAATCGAATGACAACCCTAAAGTTCGATGACGCGTTTTAAAACACATCATAGATAATGACATTTAATGACGTGGATTATCAACGAGTCATTAAAACTGTGTCATAAAAATACATTTTTGTTGTATAATTGATGCTCAAGCATGATTTTCCATATTCGAAGTCCAATTTTCTGATTTTGAAATTTCTTCCATTTTCTAATTTTTTTTAATATGAACAAGCCCATGTTTTTTGGCTACATGAAATCGAAAAAAATTCAATAACATGGAATGATCGCACACTAAGAACCTCAACTCGCACAAAAATGGGAACAGAAAAATGGCACTCATTAGCTATGTGAAATTGGTATAAGAAATAGAAAAAAAGAGGAACTGAGCTCAACCACGCAAAACAGACACATAAGTAAAATGAATGAAACGCACAGTTTTGGAAATATGTTCCACTTTTTGGTCAATAAGGGCAAAGTTGTACTTTTCTAAACCCAGACGAACAAAGCCCATAATACATGGGTACTTACTGACTTAAAACTAATAAAAATATCAACTCAGTTGAGTAAGGCCTAAAACTAATCCTAATTACTAAAGTTTTTGTTCAGCTAAAGCTAAATTTTCTAATTAGAAATATATGCTTCCAAAACATAAAAAAATTGTTGTGTAGTTTTTTATTTTATTTTAAAAAAAATCGTTATAAAATTTTAAATTTTTATAGTTATAATGATTTAACGGAAACTTTAACAAAGTTAGATGTATGTGATAAATTGCAACAGTTTAAAAAGTTCAAGTGGTTAAAAATAAAAATTAAAAATTCAGATGGTGATTATGTACGGGCCGAAATTTTCATGTGGTATTTATGCAAATGGAATGAAAATATTATTGAAACATAGGCGGAGTCATCAAACAGCTCCAAAGAAGTTGCAAAAAGAGAATTGCTTATTACGTCATGACTAAAAGGAGTTACAATTATCAAATGCTTAAACAAAAGAAATTATATTTAAGACGAAGAAGACGAAGAAGAAGAAGAAATAAGATTTGTCCATAATATTCTAGTACATTACCACCAAATGAGTCCATTTTACTCTCAAATTGAGAGTTTGACAACGTAGTTGTCCATAAGTTAACAATCCATTGCCTAGCTACTCAGTGAATCCATGTTGCCACCAAATGGAAGCTGCTGGACCATTTTGTGTTAAACGTGGACCATTTTGGGTTGCTATGCTTAAAAAATAAGCGGCTTTTATAATTTTTTTTTGGAAACGTAAGCATTTGGTAAAACCAAGGCCTTAAATATTAAGGGTTTCGGAAATATCAGTAGTTCAAAAACACGGAAATATCGATGGAAATATAGGGAAAATATCGATATCGATAAAAATTGGATAAAAACCACCGAAATTGTGATAAATAAATGAAATTTTTTAATGAAACTTTGTAAAAAGTTTATGTAGTCAATCATCTATTATTTTAACACAAAAGATTGGAAGGAAATGTATTGCATAGCATGTTTGAGTGATTTAAGTTGATTATATTGCGAGTTGACAAACTTTGTGACTTAGAAAATCTAGAGTAATTAATGAAAGAAAAGTAAACACCCTCTAGTAATTTATTTATCATTTTTACTACAGTATTTTACACTTTATAAGTTGCATGGTAAGATACATGAGTAACTTTATTTCACGTTATTCATTGGACATCATGACATGGTACACATTCTTATATTTATTATTTATCAAAAACTGAAAAATAATTAAAGATGTAAACCAACTTGATTTTTCATGAAAATTAAGCACTTTACCATGCTTAAGAAATAATAATGAAGATTGAAAATTAACTAAGAACATAAATAAAGTTATCCAAAGAAGAATTAAATAGGAAATAAAGAAAATGATTATAGAGATTTAAGTAATTAAGCAACAATTTGAAGGGGAATTTAGTAATGTAAGTACTTATAATGAATAATAAAATAAGCAATAACATTAAATGAATTAAATAGGAAATAAATAAATTATATTAAGTAATAAATATTTGATCAACAATATAGAACAATAAGTAATTATTTTATATTTTGAGAAACAACTTGGAAGAGTTATAAATACTAGATTCGATAGATACTAATCACAAAGTGATGGCTAGCGTGGTGGCTAAGAGGCTTAGGAGTTGGAAGTGAGGAGGGGTTCGAACCCCTGAGTGCGACGTTCAAGCAAATTATTTTTGTTTTTGAAAGTTCATATTGCGATATTATTGATAATATCGCGATATTATGACCAATTAAACTGCGAATTGGAAGAAAATATCTTCCTTGAAATTATCAATAAAATGAAAATATATACTTGGAAGTGTGCTAAAATTTTGGAGCCCCAAAAAAACGATAATTTCACCGAAATATTGACGAAATTATCGAATTTTTGTACTGTGCGTAAAACCAAAAAAAGCCAAATTTTAAAAATGGCCGTCATCCACAGCAGAAGCGCAAAGCAGCCAGCTTGTCAAAGCATTGCTGTGAAAAAAATACGGCCGGTTTTTAAATGAATGTTCATTTTTCCCATAATACCCTAGTAGTTTTCTAAATTGACAACTTTTATCCCTGGAGATCCTCCTTCTGCAGATTGATTCTTCTTTACGGACCGGGCAAGAACCATACCAGCTTGATTGGAGACGGTGAAAGACACAAGGCATTTATCTCCTGGCCAAAATGTAGCTATTATTCATATTTACTTTAGGAAATATATTAGCATTGTTTTTGGGGATCTTCGTCGTCAATTGCCAGCTGGGCTGTTACTAGTGTCTAGTTTTCATTTCCTTGTATTATTATTATTTTTTTTTAATGACACGATTTATAGGAGTCTATAACATAGTTAAGGCAAATTGCGTGTATTGATTGAATTGAATTGTCAGTTGTTTTTGACAAAATACAAGATTTATTATAAAAAAAACTACTCCACTTCGACAAAAGTAAAGCGGATCCTCTTTTGGAATTCATGCATATTACTGTGGCTTCCACAAAATACAATATTCGTAAGAAATAATACAATATGGAACAATGATTTCTTCAAATACTTCAGTGTGTGAATTTTACAATTTTACCCATCACTTTTTTTCAACCACTTTTACAAGCTAATTCGGTGTTCTGTTAGAAAGTACAATATATCCCAAAGATATTCCAATTACCACACCCCAAATGCATACCCCATCAACACAACCTTCCAATCAAATCCATTCCCATGCTCCAAATCATCTTCTTGTTGTAATGATGATGGCGGTGATTGATGTGGGCTGCATATTTTTGCAATTGGAAATCCACACAATCCTACATTCCCAATGTATG